AAATGCTCGTGCGGTCAACCGCCTAAAAACATTTATCATAAAATTGAAAAAAGTATAAAATGGTTTAATGAGATAAGCTAGAGTTATTTCATAAAAAATATACTTATTAATTATTATATAATAATATATGAATCGTTAAGTATTAAATACTTTAAATTATTTTTTAAATCAGTCAGATTAAAAAGTAGAAAAATTTCAATTAATAGAATATTAATTTAATAGAAAAAATGTTTTTAATTTAAATATTTTAATATAATATTTTTAAATATGATATATAATGCATTTAATGCTGTTCAATCACTTCATTTGCCACTCAGGAACGGAAAGATAAAATTTGCATATTAAGTACTTTATGTTTTATTGAATGGCAATACGCTGGTGCGGGAAGAAAATTAAGTATTTTATTTGAAGCATTAAGCGACACATTGCTTTCAGTCTGCCAAATTGTGAATTAAAACTGAAAGATAAGAATGAATCATAAGAAAACAGATTTTACGCTTTGCTGAATAGCGACAGTCCGGCGAGCAGGAGAATAAAATGTTTGATTTCGAACAGTGCTGCCACTTCTTGCTTTCAAATCACCAGATTTGTTAATAAAAAATCTGTTCAATGTGTGGAAATATGAAAAAAAAAATAAAAAAAAACAAATTCGATATTCAAAATTCGGACTGTTCGGGTGGAGGACAACGTATATTCATCTGCTAGTTCATCTGCTATAAGGTTACAAATGAGAGGAATATGACCCGATCCACCACCTGGTTTAAAAATAGACCTTATGGTCTTGTTTGGATCGTCTCTGAGTTCACCACAAAATAAGGAATCCAACCACAAAAATAAACTCACGCAGAATCACAACATTAAAACATAAACTATAAACACACAATTAAAACATATCAAGTAAAAAAAAAAAAAGCAGAGGCGATAGGTGCCATCGTTTATTCACAATGCGAGGAACATACATATGTGAATTCATACAGATTCTTCATTATTTTTTTTAATAACACATGGCGGTATCATACGATGACGGTCAAAGATTTGAAAAGTTATTCGGATACAAAAACGATACAGACAAAAAGTGTGTCTTAAAACTAGCACTTCTGGTGCTGATAATCGGACACTTGTCTATTATAAGCCAGTTTTATTTTTGTATAATATAGTATTGTAATATTTAAATTTAAGAACCTTAAAGAGATTTTAGCTATTGGCTTTTACCTCAACATATAAAAAAAGGGAAAAAAAAGAATTAGGTTTCAAATATATATTTTGATTCGACATTAGCGCAGCGTAAGATGATACTTTTAACGTGTTCTACGTTTGTGTTTGTACACAAACATAAAATTTATCTTAGAAACTCTAATGCAATAGCACACTATTAACGAAGTCACAGCACTTTTGTCACTGTCATAGCCCATATAAAACTTTTTTAGAATAATAAACATGTGCTTCAGAGATAAGCCATGCTTTATCTAATAATGTTACGAAATGCATGACTTCGTCTGAAACTATTGTACTGATTTACATTTGGATGCAAAATTAAAAATTTCGTGTTCATCACCTGCTACCAGATTTTAAATTTATAAAAGAAATCAGATCGAATCTGTAGCCGTAGTTGCAGGCAAATATATATAATAGAAGTGTTTTAAGCGGCGTAATGAAAGAAGATTATAAATAAAGCAATAAAATAGGAGTAAGTTTTGAAATTAAAACCTCTAATTTTGCCTCTTTTTTCATAGAAAATTTAATTTAAAGAGAAAGACAATTTAGTGCTTTGCATTCTTTGAAAATTTAATAAGTTCTTATTTTGACTTTAGAGTAAAAAAAGCCTCAACACCGGAATAGCGGTTACCGTACCGAACTGTGATTGAACTGTCAACTGTGATTACCGTACCGAAATGCCAGGACTCGAATCCCTGAGAAGGCGTGGGTGTTTGTAAATGTATAGTGTCTGTGCGGCTTGGGGGCACTGTAAATATGCAGCGAGAAGAAAGTTCTATTGAGTGTTTGGTGGAAGGGGAAGGAGGTGGGAGACCTTCGGATCCGTTCCCCCCCCCAAAGGATGCAATTCGAGTGGGCGGTAGTGAAGAAACTCGTACTGTATGGTGCTCAAGGGGCTCCTTGCCATGATGAATTTCGTGGGTTTATTCTGATGTTACTGTCAGACAAGTAAGACAAGCAACAATAACAACAACAACAGAACAAAGAAATATTGCAATAAGATATTTATTAATTTTAAAGAAATTTAACTTTAAAAATCCACTTAAAATTTTAAAATGATAAAAATGATATAAAATCTAAATTTGTGATTAGCACACTAAAATACTATACCTCCAAATTATGTTTCAGTGTATGCTTATTATAATTTAAGCCGTCCAGACGGTATAGTGGTTAGGGAAGCCTACTGCAGTACCGAAATGCCCGGCTTTGAATCCCGGAAAAGGCATGGTTGTAATTTCCCGTCCCAACGTAGCAGGCAATGGTGGCCGCCTATTAGGTGCCTTCTCAATAAAATGGCCACCATTTCTGGCCTTAGGAGTGGCCAGTACTGAATAGGTAAGATTCAGCCATCGAATAAAAAAAAATATTATAATTTAAATGCGAAAAAATGTTAACATAACTGTATTAAAATTAATATTTCAACTATAAGAATGAGATGACAGATTTTAGTCATTAACTCGTTTTGTAATTTTTACATTACAACACTTTTCAGTTATTCCTGTGTTGTTCTTAATTCGCAATAAACTTTGACAAATGAATTTTAGCTAACAGTATTATAAAATGGAAAGCCTAGATTATGCTTTTATTTATTTATTTACTTATTTCATTTTAAGAATATTTAAAATGAGTTCTTTTCTTCCTTCCGTAAATTTAAAATTGTACAGCAACAAATATTCGACATTTTGCCCTCCCCCGAATCTGCAGAAAGACAAGCCTATATGAGGTGAACCAAGTTTCTTCAGATATAAACTGAAGTTACCGTACCCTGTTAAAAATTTAGTAATTTCAAAATTGCAGAAAAAAATTCACAAGCATTCTAAATAGTAGAAATCTATGAAAATTCATTTCGAAACTCAATGATAAAATCTGATAGTTCCACCCGGTTTTAAATCTTAGTGAACTGGATGGCTATGTAGGCGTTTTGTGTATTTAACATGAATATGAGCCATTTCATCTGAGAATGTATTCTTTCCGTTACACAGATATTTCTGGTGGGCTTTAATATAATCCAATTCAATCTGCCCTTTCTCACGAAATTTTAAATTTTCATACATTTTCTAAAACCCGCACAACAGGTATAGTGGCTAGGTACGTAAGGACCGGGGTTCGAATCTCGGAGAAGCCATGGTTATAACAGTTCGTCCTTTTCAATAAGAGGCAAAGGTGGCCGCTTGTTAGATGCCTCCTCAGTAAAATGGCCACCACTTCTGACCTCTGGAATGCCCAATGCTGAATAGGCAATTACACTAAAAAAATGCTTATTCAAATCAGTTTTTTGTTTTATTTATAGAATTATTTTTCTTTACAATTGCAGTTTTCTTTGATTTTACTTTTTTTTGAATGTTTTGTTATAGAATCTTTGGTAAGATCTTAAAAATACCTTAAAATAATCACTTAACCATTTTTTTATTAAGTTTATTGATTGTTTAAACTGAGAAATTAAAGGTAGTGAATGCAGTGATAATGGATACTGGCATCGTAATTATAAGTAATACATTGAAATTTTATTCTACTGTTAATTGAAAACTGCGAATAAACGATGCTTTGAGATGTTTATTATGTGCACAGAATTTGTAGCTAATTTGTAATATAGGTGTATAAGAATTCTAAATTTTTTACAAAATATTAGATAGAATAATTCCAAATTTATAGAAGAACAAATGGTTTAATACAAGATATTGTGCCAATTCCTTAGGCTTGAAATCAAAAATTATTAAACTAAACCTTCAGTAGTATTTAAGGTAATTTAAACCAGTAGAGCTATCATTCTTTCTTTAATTAAGAAACGCAAAGTAGAAATTAATTAGAATTTTAATTAAGTTTTATGTACCGTGTTTGCCGGGTATAAGACGCACACACATTTATGAAAGATAAGACTTCATTACTGATCAGTATAATGATTTTGCAGTATTTTAAATATAAAGTAATACAAATAAGAAGTATTACTTTCTGCAAATCTCCAATATCTGGGAAAGAATATCTTTTAAATCTTCTTCGTCAAATCCAAGCACTCATCTCCAGAGCTAAGTGAGGAGTCTCGTGAAACTTCGTCTAAATCAGCATCTGAGTCCTCATGCAACAAAGTGTCCTCTGTACCGTCCAGTGCATTACTAATGCCACACTTCTTAAATGATTTAACCACTGTCTCTGTTTACCCAGCATGCCATGAAGCTTTGACCCATTCAAAAACTTGCGAAATGCTAACTCAAACAGCATTGACGTATAAGACGCACCTCCGTTTTTCAGACCGATTTTCAAAGAGAAAACGTGCGTCTTATACGCTGGCAAATACGGTAATTAGAATTTTTCGGACCATTTTTAAAACATATATAATACATACTTTTAATATAATTTCATTAGTGAGATTATTTTAACATAATTACATTGAACAACAAATACTTTTATATATGCATCTATAAATGTTGATATTTTCCGTCGAAGTTCCATCATTTCATAACTTTTCTGATTGAAGTTTTGTATTTACGTAAACTTTAACTCAACAGCAGATACATGAAAAAAAAAACGTATTTTTGTTATGTTAACATTTTCCTTTCAAAACAAAGGAGAAAGTGTTATGTTCTTGTTATTAAGTGGTATTGCATCATATATTTCACTGTTTTGTTCAAATAAAAAATGAAAAAGAAGGACATATATTGATCGCTAAGCTGATCAACAGCTGGTAACATTTTTGTTAGACTTCAAGTTCTGAATGATCTTTCTAGAATCTGAACAGTCCTATTGGAAACAAGCACATTTATACTCTATTCGTTTGAAAACATAAGAAACAGACTTCACTCCCGCGTTAGTTAAGCCTTTTTTATATGCGATAAAAACTCTTTCGTATCAATTTCTCTCACAACTTGAACAGAGCAAGATCTTAAATTATGGTTGTGTCAATACTGGGAATTCTGCTGGTTATGATAAGTACTAGTAATGGAGAAGCAAGGGACGACTCGGTGACAGGTATAGCGAAATACTTATCTTAAGTAAAATTAATAAGTAAAATTAATTATTCAAATTTGAAATTCATCCTATGTAGTCTTATACGTTTAAATTAATAATAATTATTAGATGAGAGCTTATACAATAAGTTCCAAGTAAATTAAAATATTCAAATGTTTTTAAGTGCTTAAACTGCCCAAAACAGTTTATTTTTCAAGTCTAAATAGAAGTTATAATTTTAGTAGTAGTATATAAGTAATATATTTATAAGTTCTTTCACTTTTCTTTCTGCACATATTATTTTACCGCCATCCAGTTTGATTCAAACTTTGGTTAATTTAGAATTTTATTCATTTATGTGCAATATCTCTTTCTCCTCTCTCTTTTAAATTATTATGTGTCTTAAAATGTCGTAATAATCCTCATTTTTGATTATTTAATTTTCAAACGAATATTTGTCAGTACCATTAACAGTTTATCTTCAATTCTTATTGATTTTGTTCAGTCTAAAATATAATGCAGCGTTATTTTTTATAAATTTTTTTCATTTAGTTAGTGTTATAACAGTTTAATTTAACCATTTTACGAAGAATTTCGAATTATTTTATTTCACACGTGAAATATTCTGAAATAGATTTTAAAAACTCATTAAGTAACTAAATGTTTCGAATTTTTTTTAATATAAAGGCTAAGTTATTTGCGTTAAAGAACTGAATTTATGGAACAAAAATATCATTTGTGCTTAAAAAAAGTAAATGAAGAAAAATATAAGTTGTTAAAATTAAATAACATTTTATGCAATAAATAACATTTTCTCCTGTAAGTATTAAATGTTTTTACCGCATTAGACTTTCCAGTGCAGTCAAATGGAGTCTATAATTTAAATTTATATGAAACTATTAGATTGTTTTTATATTCAGGTGCCAAATAAAAAAAGCATGGTATATTTTATAATGCACAATTTCTAAAACATATATAAATTTATATGAGGTTTTATAGCCTTCGTTTTTGAGAGACTGAAATAAGTAGTTATTTTAAAGTAAATGCGAAGAAACGATTATGAACAAAAGTTAAATACATTAGCATATTTAGTTCAATTTAAATATAAAGCAGCTACTATATAAATAAATTCATCTTTTTTGGAGCAATTTTTTGCTCTTAAATTAAAATTTCGTAAATTTTAAGCTTTACAAAGCACTTTTTAGGATAACTAAGCCCTTGATTAATATTTATTTCAAAATTGTTTAATGCCTTACAAATAATCAAGCTCGGTGTTTTTCTTTAATTATGCCCACAGAACTATTCGAATACTTTTATAAATTTGATAATATCTTATGATGATGTTTCACTTTCTTAATAACACATTTTAAATTTCTGACAAAAATTCAAGATTTAAGTAATTAATTATTTTAAGAAATATGTTTCAGTTATTTCCGAATCAAATTCATTTCTATGTTTTAATTTGAATTTTGAAAGCAAATACTTTGACGAATTTTATCGATTACTTTTAAGTTGCAAATATTTTGCATCATAGACTTTAAATATCGTCTATTTAAAACCTTCCCAAAAAATGCTTGTGAGGAATTTCTGTTTTGAAATATAGTACTTAATTACCTATTCAATTTCGAAGAAATCAATCAGCATATGCACCTACTCAGTTACCTGGGAACCATATTCTGATTAGTAATTTCTAAATTAATAATTTCTAAAATTACTAATTCTAAAATTACTAATTTTCTAAATTAGTAATTTAAAATTAAAATTAATTTAAATAATTTCTAAAATTAGAAGTGCCGGAAGCCTCTGGAAGACTTCAGGAAAAAGAGGATAAATAAATAAAATAACTAGAAATTAAAATAATTAAATAATGAAACCAAAATTAAAGTAACAAAAGAAAAAGAAAATATGAAAGCTTTCAGATTTTACATTAAGCTGAAAGCGGCGTTTTTTCAACGTTTTGTGTGTTACCCATATTTACTGAATATGATGTTCGTCGCACTTAAACCATTTAATTCAACTGAACAGCAGTATTGCAAAACAATTTTAAAATGGAGTATATCTTTAGAATTTCCGATACACAGTCTCGCAAGCTGGAGATAAAAATGTATTTTTTCCCGTACACTGTTGCCATTCCTCGCTTTAAAATCGTTAAGTTTGTTACTCAAAAATTCTTTAATGTCTGACAAAATATGAAATAGATAATAAAACAAATTGCACATTAGGGCTCCCAGATGCCCATATTCGGTGGAGGATTAAATTATTTAAAATTTGATTGCTCTAGGTACCATTAATTTATCAAAATGCGAGAAACATACAGACATTTATGCAGATTCTTCATTTTGATTTCTTTAAATATAATACAGGGCTGTAATATTTGGTGGCAACAGTTTGAAAAGTGAATGGACGCAAAATGCCAAAACGAAATTAATAGCCCTTCTGGACTAACGCCCTTTGGGCTAATAAAGAGATAAAGATAAATTTAATACATAATTAAAATAATTATAAATAGTTAAATAAAAAATAAATTATCGTACCTCATTTTGTTTAGAGCTCCGGCTGAAATTATTATTCCACTCAGAAGCTAAGAAGTAGTTCAGCCGATCACCGTCTAAATTTAAGCCCTCGTTGTACGCATAATGTGCTATTTCAAGGAAGGATAGATACGAAGAGTATTCTTTTTTTTTTTTTTTTTTTTTTTTTTTTTTCACCACACCAATGAAAAAAAAAGATGAAATAGTTAAAGCGCTATTAAGGAGTATCGTGAGATTTCTAAAACCAATACGAGGATATGGAAAGACATTTTAACGAAAAAATGTAACTCTGAAAATAAAAAGAAAAGAACAAGACTTTGGGATAGAGATGCCCCGTCGATATAATTCTAGCCATCAAGTCGAAATTTTCCCTGAATACGATCAATTAACAGCGTGATAATAAACGTGATTCCTCCATACTAGTGACAGTACTGGTCACCTGCGTTTGGTCACATCGTTCAATAAGTCTGTAAGGTACCTCACTTTGGAATTCTATGTTGGAAGTGAGGAACCTAAGAACTGATAAGCGAATAATCGCTAGAGTTCGATGACAGGAAACAACAAGAGAGAAGGGTAACTAACCCTTTATTATTTCGATAAGATTTAACAAAACTCCGCCTGGGAGTGTACAAGTAAAGCCCGCGCTTTGGACTTGAACTTAAAAGACTAAGAATTAAATTAAAACTAAGATTAACTAAATAAGTATAGCCAAAGCTATCAAGGTTCAATTAAAGTTGGCCCCTTGACTTATTTTACTACGAAGCTTAGCAAGGGCCTGAGTACGGCCGAGCATAGAAACAGCTTTGAGAGAGAGAGCGGTCAAAAAGGCAGGCGCGCGTAGTTCAGAAACTCTGATTCTCTCTCTGTCTCAGTAAGTAACTTCGTGGTTTAAATACCGCTCCTTCTCATTAAATATTCAGCAAATTCCAAAACTACGTTCTGGCCGGAAGTAGTAAGTTGAAGTTAAAAATTTGACAGGAAAGGAAATTTAACTGTTAATAAAATTAAGATAATCCTTACAAGTCTACTGGAGGTCTTCAGTAGGAAGTCACTAGCGCGGCATGTATACGACCATGTGTACACTTTCAGTATTTTCAGGAGAGAAAACTTTACTCGCTCTCATAAACATTGTCCTTCCTGAAGAAGTATAATAAGCCTTTGACATGTGAACGGAGGCTTTTCTTTTCTTAAAAGTCTCAACCTCTGTCCAAGGGTTGTGTCCCAAGGAAAGACAGGCTTATACACAGAAGTTAGAATAGATTTATTCCGTTTGCATTATAATATGAACTACGTTGTCTGTGTATGACATTACTTCATGTATTTCTTCTGAAGAAATGAGAAGAAGTATGATTTCACATACCTGCTGTCATTTTCCGAGAACTTTTAAAACAGAGTATAACAAGTGACTTTAATTTTGAATTTCATTTAAAAGCTAAAGATAAATTTACTACATATGAACAGACTTAGAAATTGCAGAAGAAGTAAAACATAAAAGAATTCAATCATATGTTGAAGAAATGGGAAATAAAATAAAATCAAAAAGACATACACCAAACAGTGAAGAAACTGTAGTTATGTTAGAATAAAAATAACTATTTGTTGAAGCGCTGCCATAATTAATAATTATAATTTTTATTTTGTAAATAAACTTGAAGAGAACATTTATCATGTAAAGACAGAAAAAGGAGGCAAATAAAAAATACGTTTCTGTAAATCAGGTAATTCATACTATTTTTCTCTTTTTATCATCTTTTCATGTGGTAGAGAATATTAAATTAGATTAGAAATAAAAAAATAAAATTTAACAACCGATGGATATGTTAAAAACATAATTAATTAAGGACATTGTACGATTCAAATTTTAGCTCATAAGTACTATAAATTGTTTTTCTCTCTGATTTCGAATTCACCGCTTTTGATAGTTAAAGCACTTAAACGTCATAACAGTACACAAATCTATTCAAACGTTTATATTTTGCTAGGGAGTTTGGAGACTGGTGCTAAAAACGGTACGTATAACTTTGAAAGAAACGTCTGTTCTACCCATTAACATTTACCGTAAACGCAATTTCTCCCATAATGGTGGCATCCTCTTAAAATACCCGATGATCTTATATCTTTTAGACGATAAAAAGTGTATTACCGGCATGCACTTTGTAAATGCTAATTTATAGTTGAAAGAGAAAGAACCTTAAGAATTGATAAGCGAATAATCGCTTGAGTTCGTGCAACAAGAAACAACAAGATGGAAGGGTAAATAATCCTTTATTATTCAGATACAATTTAACAGAAATCCGTCTCGAAGTGTACAATAAAAGCCGGCACTTGGGCTTGAACTTAAGAAGCTAAGAAATAAACTAAAACTAATCTAAACTAAAGAGATATAGCCGAAGCTATCAAGATTCTAACCGAGTGGGCCCCTTAACGCTAATTGACTGCGAAGCTATCAAGGGTCTGGATACGGTCGAGCGTAATAACAGCTTTGAGAGA